GGGCACCCTGCCAGGATGACACTGCTGGTGCTGATTGGTACCTGGCACTGAAAATGGCTTAGATAATTTCAAGGAGGGCATTCCAGAACACAGAAAGTGCTTTGAACCCCCTGAGGTTCAATGTCTAAGGTAGGAACTGAACCAAAGCTTCTCCTTCTGGTATCTTAAATGATTAGGAGTCCTTGCTTGATTTCCTGCAGTTTGAAAACAACTGAAAAGATAAAGAAGATAGAAGGAGTAATATTTTAAAATTTTACACAAACCTTAGATTTAGTAGCTTATTAAATAGGACAATTTTTATTAGGTAATGGGAAAAAATAGATATATGAACAAAAATGAGGAAGTTTTACAATCAACATTTATGTAACTATATTATAAAGTAAATTATATTTGGATAACTATGAAATTTTTGATTACACAAAGTGTGAGTCTGATTACCTCTTATATTTTTAACTCCACATAAAGTAATATCTATGAATAGTTAACCCATTTATGCTGGAGGTTGCGAACTATTCAAGCAGTCATAGAAAGACATTTAACTCAAAGTTGAAAGAAACTACGTTGCTGCAGTTTTAGGAAATCTTATTAAAATTGGGAAAAAATGATGTTCACTAACCTGAATATCCAAAATGTTATCAATAGCACTATAGGACTATAAAGTTACTACTTTAAACACATTCCAGTGAGAATTATTATGAGGTCAAACTTTATGTTTCTGAAGTTTCCATATAAAATTTCTTTAATTTCTAAAATTAGATTAATATTTGAGCTCATTCATTTCTGTATAGAAGTTAAATCCTAATTATTTGCTATGTTTTCATTAGCTATGAATTTTATGTAATTCTGAAATTATTTATTAGAATAAAATAATTGCTTGAGTGAAAAAAAAAAAGAAAACAACTGCTCTGGCCACTTCACTGCTTTGTTTCTAAATATTTCCCTAGATCTATGGTAAAATTAGTGCCAAGTACAAGTACAAAGCTCAGTGGGAGTAGCAGAGAGTGAAGGACAAATATGGGAGTTCTGGGATGGATGATAAAGAGTTTATCAGGCGACAAAGGTGGAGGAAAACGTTAGAGTCTCAGAGCACACCTATGCAAAAGCACAGAGTCCCCAAATCACATGTGGAGTGGTGACTACTCTGGTGCACAAGGAGTTGTGTCATTTATTGAACATCTAGTCTGGTCCCTGTAAATTGTTAAATGTTATATGGAATAGATGGTACTTTTTCCCTCTGTATGTTACTACCATGATTTGCATATAAATTCTCTTGATGTAACCCCAGTTGTCCAAATGATCTGGGGCCTCAATTTTATTATTGTTTACACATGATCAGAAATTTATAGAGACACAGGTGGTATCCACAACCTTAGCTGAGTATCTGCATGATATTGGTCTAGCAGTGGACAGGAATATTCTGACCCCTTTATAGCCCTTTCCTAGTGTAGTGATTACTACCTATGATGGACTTTACTCTCAACTGTCTCTAGGCCACTTGACAAACCTACAATATTTTTAGATTTTCGTCCATAGCAATACAGTGATCCCAATAGATTTTAAAGGAAAAGAGCTAATGGATTAGGTATACATAGACTAAAGCACACTGTCTTAGTCTAGTCAGCCTGCCATAACAAAATACCATAAACTGGGTGGCTTTTAAATACCAGAAATTTATTACTCACAGTTCTGGAGGCTGGGAAGTCCAAGATCAAGATACCAGCATCATTGGATTCTAGTGAGGACCCTCTTCCAATTGCAGACTGTCAACTTCTTCTGTGTTTTTCGTATGGCAGAAGGGGTGAACTAGTGTTACGGGATCTTTGGGGTGTCGATTTTCTGGCCAGAAACCTCTGTGGCTGGTGGCACCTTTGCCAGAGTTCTTGTCCTGTGTCCAGGAAGAATGAGGTATGCAGACAAATGAAGGGTGAACAAGATGAAGATGAATTTTATTAAGTGTTAGGACAGCTCAACGGAGACCTGCAGTGAGTAACTCCTCTCTGTAGGCAGGTCATCCCGTGGAATGTTCAGCTGTCAGCAGAGGGGAGGCCCTGGGGAGGGTAGCTTGTCTCTGCTACTGGTCCTTCCTACGTCTGCTGCTCTCAGCAGAGAGGAGGCCCTGGGGACAGTTGCTCCTCTCTGCAGCTGTAGTCCCAATGTCTCTGCAGGTCTCTGAAGCTCTCAGCAGAGAGGATAGTTCCTCTCTGCAGCTGGTTGTCCTGTCCTCTCCTGCTATCAGCAGAGAGGGTAGTTCCTCTCTGAAGTTGGTCCTCTCTTCGTCTCTTCCTCCTCTGACCCTGCTGTGGCTGAGCCCAAGGCTTTTATGGACCTCAGAGTGGAGAAAGTGTGTGCCATCAGTCCACATGCAGCCCCAGAAGAGGCACCACAAGCCCCCACAGTCCACAGGACTGGCAGCCTGGTCCCCAGCCTTCAGGCCCTGAAGATGTGGCCCTACCAGGGACTGCTTCCTTTGACCCAGGAATCTGTCTGCCTCCCACTCCATTTATGTCTCCGGAGTTTGGCTAGTCTTTGCTCTCAGACCAGAGTGGGCATTGGTAGCAGGGAGAAGGAGAAGCCAGGCAGTGGGAGCAGCCACTTCTGAGCCTGCGAGGGCAGGGGGGTCTTCCCAGGCCCCAAGAGTGCAGGGATGCCTGAATCTGCAATCTCGACTTGGGTGACTGTAGCTGCATGGGGCAGGGTTGTGGGGCAGGATTCCAGCATGCTCCTTAGAGCGGAAAGCCTGGGTCTACAGTGGTGGTCTGGGTGGCTGCAGAACCACCTGGGAAGCTCACATCCCAGCTTGGAAGAGGCAGGGCTCCCATGGGCTCCAGAAAGTGTGCAGCCCTAACTGCACCTCCCTGCTTCTGCCTTTGTGATGGCAGGCTGCCATCGCTAGCTTTCTAAGGTCCCTTTTAGAAGAGTACGAATCTCATTCATGAGGGATCCACCCTTTAATCTAATCACTTTCCAAAGGCCCCATCATGTTGGACATTAGAATTTCAACATATGAATTTTGGGAAGACACAAACATTCAAGGTAGGGCACAGGTGTTTTGTATATAAGAATATTACCTTGACTGGGCATGGTGGCTCACACCTGTAATCTCAGAATTTTGGGAGGCTGAGGCAGGCGGATCATCTGAGGTCAGGAGTTGGAGACCAGCCTGGCCAACATGGTGAAACCCTGTCTTTACTAAAAATCCAAAAAAAAAAAAAAAAAAAAGTAGCCAGGTGTGGTGGCAGGTGCCTGTAATCCTAGCTACTTGGGAGGCTGAGGCAGGAGATTCCCTTGAACCCAGGAGGCGGAGGTTGCAGTGACCTGAGATTGTGCCATTGCACTCCAGCCTAGGCAACAAGAGCAAAACTCCGTCACAAAACAAAACAAACAAACAAAAAAACCAATATTACCTGTAGGGTCCAGTCCTACAGGGTCTGTGGGTTTTTCTCCTCATGTGTGGAGATGAGACATCATAGAAATAAAGACACAGGACAAAGAGATAGAACAAAAACAACTGGGCCAGGGGGCCACTACCACCAAGGTGTGGAGACCAGTAGTGGCCCCGAATGCCAGGCTGCACTGTTATTTATTGGATACAAGACAAGGGGGCAGGGTAAGGAGTGTGAGCCATCTCCAATGATAGGTAAGGTCACGTGAGTCACGTGTCCACTGGACAGGGGGCCCTTCCCTGTTTGGTAGCCAAGGCGGAGAGAGGACAGCTCATGCCATTATTTTTTCTATGCATTTCAAAGACTTTTAGTACTTTCACTAATTCTGCTACTGCTATCTAGAAGGCAGAGCCAGGTGTACAGCGTGGAACATGAAAGTGGACCAGGAACGTGACTGCTGAGGCACAGCATCACAGGGAGATGGTTAGGCCTCCAGATGGCTGCTCCACAAGAGGTGGTGGAGCAGTCTTCTCTAACTCCCCTGGGGAAGGCAGACTCCCTTTCCCGGTCTGCTGAGTAATGGGTGCCTTCCCCAGGCACTGACGCTACCGCTAGACCAAGATCCGCTAGGTAACAGGTGCCTTCCCAGGTGCTGGCGTTACCAGTAGACCAGGGAGCCCTCTAATGCCCCTGTCGGGGCATGACAGAGGGCTCACACTCTTGTCTTCTGGTCACTTCTCACTGTGTCCCTTCAGCTCCTATCTCTGTATGGCCTGTTTTTTTCTAGGTTATAATTGTAGAACAAAGATTATTATAGTATTGGAATAAAGAATACTACTACAAACTAATGATTAATGATAATCATATATAATCATATCTATAATCTATTTTTAGTATACCTATTCTTAATTCTATATTTTTTCTTTATTATACTGGAACAGCTAGTGCCCTTGGTCTCTTGCCTTGGCACCTGGGTGGCTTGCCACCCACAATTACCTCATTTAAAACATGGATGTTTGACAGGGAAAGGGCACAGTGAGTTGTTCTGCTTTGCTTGAGATCAATGCCCAACATTTGTGAATCTAATTCATTCTTATAAGAATAAAAAATAATTAAGATTTTTATTGCTGGACTCTCTTAGACCCTATCTGGCAGTTTTCCAAAAGGATTTCCCATAAAAGGAGATAATCAATGAAGGTAAAAGCTGAAATTACTAAAATAAAAAGTAAAGCAGAAATAATATGTATGACTAAAACCTGGTCCACTGGGAAGATAAAAACGTAGAATCCCTCCAGGGATTTACTTAAAGAAAGAAAAGAGAAAACAAATTGTACAATATTAGTGATGAGAAAGGACACAAGGACATATAAAGACAAAATTAAAATTATTAGAATAAGATCATATAAAACAGCTGTAACAAATTTGAAAATTCAGTAGGCGTATAAATTATGACAGCCTGAGCTCAAAATGTGTCAGAAATTAGTTATCTCAGACTCATATACTTACCAGTCTAGTGGAAAATATACAGTAAAGGATTTTTCTGTGTTTGCCTCATAATGCAGAATTTGCTGTCTCTCTGGTTTAGCTCCTATTCTAACGGCTCTGTCTATTTTACAGAAAAGAACTTCTGCTTGGAAACTGCTTAACTGCTGGGAAAATGAACATCAGTATTGATTTAGACACAAATTATGCTGAGCTGGTTCTAAATGTGGGAAGAGTCACTCTTGGAGAGAACAATAGAAACAAAATGAAGGATCGTCAACTGAGTAAACAGCAGAATGAAAATATCTCACGAGCTGTGTGTGCTCTGCTGAATTCTGGAGGGGGAGTGATCAAGGCTGAAGTTGAGAATGAAGACTATAGTTACAAAAAAGATGGAATAGGACTAGATTTGGAAAATTCTTTCAGTAATATGCTGCCATTTGTTCCTAATTTCCTGGACTTCATGCAGAATGGTAACTACTTTCACATTTTTGTGAAATCATGGAGCCTGGACACCTCTAGTCTGCAGATTGCCACGTTGAGCTCCAGTTTGTATAAGAGAGATGTAACGTCTGCAAAAGTCATGGATGCTTCTGCTGCACTGGAGTTCCTCAAAGACAAGGAAAAAACTGGAGGGAGAGCATATTTAAGACCAGAATTGCCCGCAAAGAGGGCCTGTGTTGATGTACAAGAAGAAAGTAACATGGAAGCCTTGGCTGCTGATTTTTTTAACAGAACAGAACTTAATTATAAAGAAAAATTGACCTTTACTGAATCCACACACGTTGAAATTAAAAACTTCTCAACAGAAAAGTTGTTACAACGAATTAGAGAGATTCTCCCTCAATATGTTTCTGCATTTGCAAATACTGATGGAGGATATTTATTCGTTGGTCTAAATAAAGATAAAGAAATAATTGGCTTTAAATCAGAGAAGAGTTACCTTACTAAGTTAGAAGAAGTAACAAAAAATTCCATTGGGAAACTGCCCGTGCATCACTTCTGTATGGAGAAGGGGACGATAAATTACTTATGCAAATTCCTTGGAGTATATGATAAAGGAAGTCTTTGTGGATATGTGTATGCACTCAGAGTGGAGCGCTTCTGCTGTGCAGTGTTTGCTAAAAAGCCTGATTCCTGGCACGTGAAAGATAACAGAGTGAAGCAGCTGACCGAGAAGGAATGGATCCAGTTCATGGTGGATTCAGAACAAGGTTGAGGAAGGAGGATTGGCAATAAGGACACATTTGGCTTGGGTGGCAGGAAGGTTTTATTGTATCTTTGGGATTAGGGACGAGATTAAAAGTCTTCAGATTTCAACATCTAATTTACTAATCTCTGGTGGATATAATCAATACTTCCTTGCCTCTTGTTTTCTTCTACACACTTAGAAGACAGATATTTCATACAATAAGTAAATATCTACTCTTAGTAGCCTTATCTGATGCAAAGATCTAGATGTTTCTTCTCTACTACATCCTTGCTCACTTTCAAGGAAAGCCTGTTCAATTCTTTTCCTTTTTCTTTCAGAGCTTAGTTTCTGTAACTAACCATTGCTTTCTTTCGGGAACACTTACTCTTTTACTTACTTGCTCTTTCATCTTTCTTTACCCCCTTTCCATTTATTTCCTGTAAAGCCTTTTCCCTCTTCCTCTCACATTTATGAGCCAAAGAGTAACCCTAAATTGTACCAATGAGCGAAGAATAATGCCGAGATTTTATCTGGTTTTGGAAAAGGAAAGACTCCAGTGAAATTAGACCAGACCTAGCAACTTAACAAAATCTCTGAAAATGCAAGCTTGTCCCTCAGAATCTGCATAAAACCCAGCTTTCCTTCACTAGCTCTCACATTCTTCTAATTTTAACTTCTTTTAAAATAAACTCAGTTATATGGCAATGTATTAAGTTGCTATCAAAGCATTTTTACTGTTAATTTTCATTCCAAGTATAGAGTGTTTCAGCAGCATCAAGGGTTAATTTTACAATTTGTATCTGACCTAGGAATCTAACCACAATATGTAACCACAATATCGAATACTTTGTATTGGGAATGCAGGGTCAGTTCTAAGTAGACTTTTGGCATTCTGTGCATTACTTAGGTTGAATCTCTCTTGTGCCAAATTAAGAGTGTGATTTTGTTTTCTAATATTATTCCATAGCATATGAAGAACTGCCCTCTCCAGCGAGTACATCATCGCCTGTCTCCCAGAGTTGTCCTCTTCGTGAATATATTAACTGCAAAATTCAGCCACGGAGATATCACCTTCCAGGTAGTTTAATTCTGGCTTCCATGGAGTTGTTGGTGTGACTATGTTTAAGCCTCCTCCTCTTCAAACTAGCTCTGTCTTGACATTTGCTATGGAAACACATTCTTGTGTTTATGGAAATTCTTTGGTGTTTTTAGTCATTGAATTTGTCAAATTCTATTTCTTTAGCTTTGGATTATAATTTTCTTGGTGTAATAGAAACTCCTTTACTTGAAAATAAGAGCAACCCAATTCAGCTTAGTTTAAGCAGAAAAGGAAGAATATACATCATGTCACTGAGCAGTCTGGACTGGCACCCAGCTTCAGGCAGGCTATATTCAGTTACTGAAGAAATACTCAGCATCTCTGATTTATTCACCTGTTGTTGTTGATAGGCAATGAGTTATTTCCTGTTTTCTGCTATATGAACAGTGTTACCTTTAATATTCTTATTCAGTCTTTTGATGCATACGTGCAAGAGTTTCTCTTGGGTGCCTAAGTAGGGGTAGAATTGTTGGTTCAGGCAGTGTGTGAATATTTAAGTAATAAGATCATGCCAATAAGATAATTTCCAAAGTAGGTGGCTCACTTTACTCCCACTAGCAATATATTGGAAATGCCACATCTCTTCCAATGCCAGACTTCTCTCTTCATCTTTCTGCTTGTTCACCTCTTGACCTTCTTTTCTCCCTCAGTCAAATGGGTATAAAATGCTATCTCTTTTTGGTATGCCTTTCCCTGGTTATTGATTGGGTTGAGCACCTCTCCATATGCTTATTGCCATAGAAGATATTGTATTTTCTATGAAGTGGCGATTCTGTCTTTTCCTCATTTTTGTAATAGGTTTTGTCTTTTACTTACTGATTTCTAGGAGCAATTCACATATTCTAACATAAAATTCTCATTTAGTCACAGATATTACGGATTTCAGATGTCTTCTCCAAGTTCATGACTTGCATTTTTTCTTTTTGCAAGGCATATTCTCCTTAGTAGTTTTAAATTGGATATAGTCAAACTTACCATTTGAAAATTTTGTGGTTTAGTGCTCTTTGTGCCTTGTATAAGAGATCTTTCCCTACCCTGGGGTTATCAAGATATTTCTGTTTATTTTCTTTTAAAAATTTTAAAATTTTGCACTTAACATTTAAGTATGTAATCCACATCCATAAGCAGTGACGTAGGGGGCTATTTCATTTTATCCCATGTGGATAACCACTTTTCCTAGATCCAGTTACTGAAAACTCAGTTTCACCCACTGATCTGTCACGCTACCTCTGGGATATTACTTCATACAATTGACCCTTGAACAAAGCGGGGCTTGAGGGTATCAAACCCCTGATGATTTTTATCCATTGATTTCAATTTTCTGAGCCTGTAAGAGAATCAGGATATCTTTATCTTTTCATCTATTTTATCTTTTGGGGGCTTTTAAAAAAGATATTATAGTAATTTTAAAGTCCCTCTTTGATGACTCCAATATCTGAAGCACTTGCCAGTCTTTTTCTCTCATCCAGTTTTTCTCTTATTTTCTAGTAATTTGTTCTGATTTTTATCCTGTCTCTTAATTTTGTATAGTATCATGGATTACAAATTGTAGAGACTTCAGTAGATGTTGCATTTCTCCAGATAGGGTTACACTTTTTTTTTTTTTTTTGGCAGGCAGGTAGAGCACCAGTGATTACTTTTATTCTTTTGAAGTTTTGTTTTATGCTTTTCTAGGTATAGTAGCTTTTAATTTTGCACAATTACTAGGTCATGGCTCTTCTGGGGTCTTAAAGTCTGGGATATTTACCAAGACCCCTCTACTTGGCTGGGAGTTGAATTCCAATTTGTGTCTCCTGAGCACCATGAAGCTGATGAAATTGATGTTCAGCTCTTTAATCTCCCAGTTGATCAGTTGATATTTTCTCCTTTCCTTTCCTTTCCTTTCCTTTCCTTTCCTTTCCTTTCCTTTCCTTTCCTTTCCTTTCCTTTCCTTTCCTTTCCTTTCCCCTTCCCTT